GATTAAGGTAATGACAAACTTGATCTTTGATAATTTTTTCTAAAATCTTAGTGAACACACTTAGCAAAGAAAAAGGCCTAAAATTTGAGATATTGGTGACGTCACCAGACTTGAAGAGGGGAATTACCTTGGCAATTTTGTAGGCATTAGGGAATATACCATTTTGGATACTTGTGTTAGTTATATGTAGCAGTGGTTGTTTAAGTGTCTCCCAGTTGTCTTTGAGTAGTTCAGCTGATACACAATCATACCCTGGAGCTGAGCCCCCTCGCAGTCTAGTGACGTAAGAGTACAGTTCCTGTTCAGTGACAGTGTGGAGCGTGAGGATGGAGTCAACAGAGTGGTCAGTGTCATCGACCACAGGTAAACCGCCCGAATCTATATTTTCTGCCAAGTTGGGACCAACGTTGGTGAAGTACTCATTAAATTCGTCGGCTACCTGTAATCTATAGTCATTGTCAACGTTCAGTCTGTTTCCTGTAAATTGTGTAAGTGGGAAAATGTCCTTTTTATTACCTCTACCCGCTAATTCGTTTAAAGTACTCCAGAATGTTTTTGGATTATTTTTTGAATGTGAAAGTTTTTCTCTGAAGTAATTGTATTTGGCTAGTTTTGTATCTTGATTTAACTAATTTTTTACTCTTTGAAATTTTGAAATCAATTCCATATTAAAAGGTTGTCTCCTAACTAACTTGCTCAATTTGTCCCTATCCCTTATTTTTCGTACTAAGTCATGGGTGATCCATGGTTTGAGAGGCCTCAGCCTCGGTTTGAGAACAGGTCTTTGTTTTGTGGATTTGTTTACACAATAGGCCTAGCTGTTTGTGGGCAGTTGTTTTAAAGGATTTTGTATGTAATGAAATAATTAATTACACATCTTGGTAACTAATCTATACTATAATATGAGTAAGTATTTTAAAAAAACTGCTCCTACGATTTCCTCCAAATTGTTAGAAATATCTTAGTTTTAGGCTAAAAACAATACCCATGCCAGGCTCTGTTCTGGGAAAATTCATTTTCCATTAAAAACTTAAAAACTTATTTTAATATTTTTAATATTAATGGACTGTCAATAAGCTATGACAGTGTTACAAAAATGTAAACAAATGGATTGTAACATAAGCTTGTAACAAATCATCTACAGTACAGTAGCAAATTACAAAATACAGAACAACGGAAGAGGAGTGCAGTGAATTCTATGAATGCTATTGAGCATTGCTTATGTAATACATTTGGATTGTATGATGTATTACTAACCAAAGGGATCATTACGACTGTTCAAAAACATTGAAGTATTTTACAGTAAAACATTACACACTGATATTGAACTAAAAGTCTAAAGGAAAGGCCAAGGATGTTTTGTAGTTTTCGACGATGCGCCGCATGAATTGGTGCGTATTACACCATTCCATAATTATAGTTGCGACGTTCCGCGATCCCAGTGACTAACGCAATAACGGTCAACAGATAACAGATGTTTTGTATCATATCATGAGTTTTATATTGAAGCTTATTGTATAAATTTTATAAATTGCTCGTCCACATGAAAAAGTTTGTTAGGTAAATTAAGGATGAGTGGATGTCTACCAAAAAAGAATTGACTTTACAACTTAATTAATCGTAGTAAAACTGAAAATATTTGTAGGCTTATAAGTTCTAATTTGTTACCTCTTTAACAAATGAAACACCTCGAGCTATGCTCGGTTCCCTGGTACTTGTGTTTTAATCAAACATTGTCACATTTTATATTACTACAACAGAAACAAATGACTTAAATTTGCCACTGTCAGATAATGAACATCAAATGAGGACAATGTTTTGACACTTATAATAACTTGAGTGTAAAATCAACAAACAAACATTCCCCCTTCCCACCCCTCGGTGCTTTGGGTGTTGTTATTGGCCGTCACTGCCCTTCCACGGGCCCACTGCATACCAAAGCAACTGGACTTTGACTTTCTCTTTCCTCACCCCCGCGTTTTTTCTCAAAAAGGGCGCTGACCCCTCACGGGCGCACACAACCCTCACTGATCACATAAAATAAATAACCCGTATTTGAGACTAAAAATCAAACGATTTAAAACTAACAAATTATTATCTATTCGTTAGCTACAAATCTAACTGAGTAGAAGTTATTTCCAGCACTTTTAAAAAACTAACAAATAAAATAGAAGTTAGCCGAAAAAACTAACAAATATTGCTATTCGTTAGAAATTCTATTTGTTATTCCCAAGTATGGCTGCCACAAATGCAATCCCTATACCAGCCTTCCATACAATAGACTCGTTTGACAGAATGGAGAGCTCTCTTAAATAGAGGAAAGCAGTCATTGTTGCCAACTTGACAAACAACTCCGAGGCAGACTCTTTGTTAGCAATGAAGGCAGGGACATATTTCCGAATAGGCGGACTAGGCACAAATTTTAGGGGCGGCAAAATTTTGAGGGTAAAAAAAAAAAAACTAAGTTTTAATCTAAAAAAAAATTAGCAAATAATTTTGGGAATTTCAGAACGCATCCAAGTCAAACAAACGTCAATAGTTTATTACACAGCTGTGTAGAGTTGTCCGTGCTGCCCTAATTGGTCTGGCGGACACGCTCGCCGCGGGAGCGGGTCGCCGTGCCGGCCGCTATGTAGTGACAAACGTAGAAAACACTCCCTTCTGTTGACTTCATACACCACTACGCAGCGGCAGCTCTATAGCTGAAAGATTCTTTTGCTAGGTTAAAATCAAGAAGGAAAGTGTGAACTAAATACTTACCACTGTACAAAACTTAACTAATTTAAAATTGTATATTATTCTTTCAGTATTAGTACGTAATTTTTCTTTGCGATTCGTGTGCTTTTGGAAGAAATAAAAAGTATAAGAAAACATATTTCTTTCATTTCAAATCAAAGCCAATAGCACGTCTCTCAAGTGGATCTGACTAATAGTGTTCAATGAAAAGCGTTATAAGAACCATTGTATACAGACGATTTTGTGTACCGTTTCAAGCTGCAAAATGGGATTGTAAAAATACTGATTATATAAAAAAAAGTTGCATTCCGTGTAGGCCTATCCAAGTCAGAATGTTTTGCAAAAAAAAAAAACGGCACAAAAAAGTCCGTTAAAAGGGGTCGAAATAGTATATTTCGTACCTAGGGCCAAAAATTAGGTTTCGCCGGCTCGAGATAGTTTTTAGGTTCGAGATGAAGTCAACTTAAAACGATCGAGAGCTGCAAAACCATTTCGGTCCATGGTACGAACGCTATTTTCCACCACACTATACCTAAATAGCACCTTAATTCACCACAATAATGACACTGATAGTCAACACAACTAGAACTTTAAGGTTATGTGAAGAAATAATTTGAGGAATCAGCAAAAGTTAAAATAAATAGTTGCTAGGCAGCGGTGACAATAAAACAATTCTATTGCAATGCTATGGATACTGATTGTGTATTTAATATGCATTCATGTTTTAAAAAGTAAGCGATCAACTGATTTTGCTGCCCTAGGGATGTAAGAACCTGCTCGGTCCCCAAATGACGATGACTTTAAATCGTCATTTGGGCTTTAAATTGTAACTTTCAGCCACCAATTAACGCATGTAAAACAGCTAAAAACATCATAGTGTGGTGAAAAGTTATTAAATTTGTTGATGCAGCATGCAATATTACCAATTATTTTTCCACAAAACCAGCTGACAGGGCATGTATTGGCCATTGGAGTGATATTATTGAGGTCGGGGAGTGCGTTGAAAAGTGGGAGCGGGAGGGGCGGCGGCAAACTTTGTTGCCTAGATACTTAAATACGTCCCTGAGTGAAGGCATGAGGGGGTGAAAGCTTCTGCAAATCACAAAACTCTGTTGGCTGAAGATCAAACTCTTGCCTGACCTGTGGGTGATCTGCTTTAGTACACACCACCATCACTGGTATCTTGCTTTCTCTGTAGTATTTCAGATATACGTTGGATATATATTCCAACGACTGCGGGTCAGTCCCATCGTATACGAGACACACAACATTACATGCTACATCCACAGGATGCAGCACTGCGTTCTTGTTGGGCAAGTCTACATCCTTCAACACAAAATTGTTAAAAAAGGTAGATTTTTAAGATAAATATCTAGATGCAAAGTTGTACCACCGTATCTATGTTGGTTTAAAAAATATTAAGCGGTTCCGGGACTTTTTTTAACACACTGAATGTTAAATACACAAGCAGTATCCATTTGTATTGCAATATACTTGTTTTATTGTTACCGCTGCCTACAGAGTAACTATTTTTTGTTATTTTTGCTGATTCCTCAAAATATTTCAGATAGGCTAGCCTTACAGTTGTTGTAGTGTTGACTGTAAGTGTGCTTTATTATTGTAGTAAATAGTGGTAATAGGGTATACCGATACCGTAGTGAAAAATAGCGTTCGTATCACAGGCCAAAATGGTTTTGCAGTTCGTATTAAGTTCTCGACTTCTTTCTAACTTAAAAACTGATCTCAAGCCCACAAAACCTCATTTTATCCCTAGGTACGATAACAGACTTCTTGTCCTTTACTTTTTGCTTCTCTGCATATACTTAGTACTCTACCTATTTAAGGTTCCAACCATGATGAAGTCCCTCACCCAGTGGATATAATGTGTTCTAAACCAAATTCAACTTTACTTCACTTGTCAAAGTATGTATAGTGTAGCATATGTGCAAGTATTTAAATAAAAATCTAAATAGCATCTGGTTTCTAAGACCATGACTATCACAAAGCTAGCATGGGTGGCATTTCAATTGCAGCGATTGTTATGATGACCAAAACTTCTAAACCACATTGCAGAGAAAGTCCAAGAGACACAGGCACAAATCATCATACCTGGATCCATACTAAGTGAATAGAAACCTTGACACTAAGATAACAGGGCTGGTCATGTACATTGTTATATTAAACCAAAACTTTCAGGAAAGCCCTTACCCTTAAGATAATAAATATAAATATATATATAGGCGGACAGTAGAATTTATTCTTACTTTGTCTTTTCCTTCTTTCTTCAATTAGTTTTTCTGTTTTGGTAACTGGCTCTTTCCAATTGTGAGTTCTAAAAGCCTTATTTGATGATCCGCAAGGTTTTGTAAACTGGTGTTTTCTAGTGTCTTTATTTTTCATGTCATCTATTGACTTGACTGGTTTAGCGGACCTGTCAAGAACTTTCAAGGCAACTTTGTCAGGTGTGAAATTTGAAGTATTGGTAGATGAAGAGTCATTTTCATCTGAAACAATAATTTAAAGGTAAGTAACAATCCAAATCTTTCCTGATATGCTATACTGCAGCCATATAAAATGTATAAAGTACAATTCACTCTTGCACTAAAGTCTTTACTTTTCTTAGTTAGTAATTATTTATTTATAGGCCCTACTTGTTAGTTGTGGATCATTGATTTCTTTTAATTTGATTAGAGTATGAGTAGTTAAATATTTAACCATAATTTCTCTGTCATATTTGTTGAGGGAAAAAATAATTTGCTACTGAGAGGAAGAAACCTAGTAATAATGGGGTAATAATCTTCTAATTAAACTAAACATAAATATGACAAATCAAAATTATTTTGAAAGAATTCAATCAGTTAACCTATTATTGCTATAGTGGTTGAGTTAGGCCTAAATAAACTAACTCTTCATAGGGCACAATAATGAACGCATGCCGAGGCTACGATGCTTCGGCGTTTTGTAAAATATAACAAAACTTGATTCAAAGTACGATATTGTAATCTATATTATTAATACGCTAAATGAAACATTGTGAACAATAATGCTTTTTTATTTTAAGATTTAACCCCACATATTATATACCAAAATTTTTGTCTAGGTGTGTAGATTTGCAAACTGACCGTACATTTTTGAAAAAGTCCCTTGGGCTCTGCCCCAGTGGCTTTTAAAGTTCCCATGTTATCCTGATGAAGAACATATTTGTTTACATTATGATCAGCTGGATAATTTAATTGCTAAAATATCTGGTTTTACAATACCTTTATCAGTTCCAAAAGTAACTTTCGTCAACGTGTGTTACATGTTTCGGCGAGCTGCCATTGTCAAACACTTCAATACAGGAAGATGTAGATCCGCTTGAATAGCTTCGTTACAACACATTACACGACATACAACATTTTTACACGACACGTACAACATAAAAATAAAAATAAATACTTGTAGTTTGATAGGCCTATCATGAATATGCAACATTGCCGGTACACGAGCGGGAACAGACTGTCGGTGGAGGGTTCAAGTCAGCGCTATCTGGTTGAATTATCTTCGTTATCTGTTGTGGTCAGCTGATCAGATTTGTTTCCTTGTTGCAGTAGCGTGTTAAAAATTATATTTGACTTAAACTGGAGTTTGTCATTCAGGATATGGTTGTTGGAATCCAGATTTTTTATTGATTTGTATATTTCAAACTCCTCCAAGACGTCCATTTTATTTCCCTTTTTACAGTAATGTAGTATTTGCAGACCGGTGTTAATGTCATTCATATCGTGATTACAGTCAATAAGGTGTTGGGCAAATGTTGATTTTTGTGTGTCTGTTCTCGGGTCTGGGCGGTGTTCTTTATAGCGGGTTTTAAATGCTCGACCCGTTTGTCCAATGTAAAAGCTCAGGCATTCGGCACAATTTATTTTGTAAATTCCTGTTGAACTGGATCTATCGGTTTTGTTGTTATGGCTATTGTCCTTTAAGATATTATTTACTTTGTTACTTGTTCTAAAAGATAAGGTGATGTTGTTGTGTTTTAGATGTCTCTTGAGGTTGTACTGGATGTTTTCATTGAATTCAACACAGACGTATTTTTTATCAGGTTGACGGGGTTTTGCTTCGTTTTTCCGTTTGAGCTGGTTGCCGATGAGTTTATCAATTAAACCATCTTGGTATCCATTTGAAGCGGCAATAAATTTGATAGTTTCCAATTCTATCTTGTAATTCTCAGTATTTAGAGGGACATTTAACAATCTGTGAATCATACTATTGTAAGCAGCTATTTTTTGTGAGTAAGGGTGGTAGGAAGTTGCATGAATCGTTTGTGTTGAAGTAGTAGGTTTGCGATAGATGTTGTATGATAATTTTTTGTCTTCAGTTTTTTCTAATGTTAAATCTAAAAAGTTTATCTTGTTTGATTTTTCTACCTCAAGTGTGAATTTCAATTTAGGTGCGATGCCGTTCAAGTAGTTTTAGAGTAGTTCTAATTGCCTGGCATTGCCGTTGAACACTACTAGAGTGTCATCAACGTATCTGAAATGAGATACTATTTTTCCTTTATATTTATTTTGATCTGAAAATATGTATTCTTTTTCGATGTGATTTAAATAAAGGTCGGCTAGTATGCCTGATAACGGGGAACCCATTGCAAGGCCATCTGTTTGGGTATAAAATTTATCTTCAAAACAAAAATAGTTCTGGTTTAGTACTTCTTTTAGTAATATCATAACTTCTGTCACGGCTTCTGGTAACAAATTACTATCGTTCAGATGATTTTTTACAATAGATAAAGTTTTCTCAATTGGGACGTTCGTGTAAAGGTTTACTACATCGAACGATGCTAATGTGTTGTGCATATTTAAATTGATGTGTTTAGTTCTTTCAATCAGTTCATAGGAATTTTTAATACTATAATTGGTGTCAAGGCTAATATTTTGTTTTAGGATTTTTTCCAACTTTTTGGCCAGTTTGTAGGTAGGTGCAGACGTGTAGTCGACCAATGGGCGGATGGGAGTGCCTTCCTTATGGACTTTGGGCAGACCACGCAGGACAGGTGCACGTGGATTCATGCACTTTATCTGTCTCATCTCATCGGCCAAGAATATTATTTTACTTTCGTTAATCAATCTCTTGGTCCTCTTTTGATAAATCGCTGTGGGGTCTTTGTTTAATAGTTTTATATCATTATCACCTAAAAAGTTGTTTACTCTATTTACATAGTCATGTTTATACATTATCACAGACGAATTGACAATGGCAGCTCGCCGAAACATGTAACACACGTTGACGAAAGTTACTTTTGGAACTGATAAAGGTATTGTAAAACCAGATATTTTATATATTACAGTTCCGGGGCTACAACAATGAATTTTAATTTAATTGCTGTTTAGTTTGGTTGCAATTTAAGGAAACGTGTGCTACAAACATTACTGACTTGGTTGAAATGAAATAATATTGACTATTTCAATTTGGGTTGGCGTAAATATTACAATGGCAAAAAGTGAGAAAGCCTGGACAGTTTGATATACTAAAAAAAAGAAAACTGAATTAACATTGTGCTGTATTTCTTGAGCAATCATTGAAAGAGCCGATTTGCAAACTAGGGTATGGAAACATAGGGAAGTCATACAACACCACCAAGTAGAAGAAATAGAAATAATGTTTTATTTTTTAGAATTTATAATTGTTACAGTAACCTTCAATAGTTCGACACTCCTTGTAGTTCAACACGGGCTGAGCTATTTTTTCAAGTGATATCTAATGGTTACTATTGTGATGTAAGCTGACTTGAACACTAATTTGTCATTTATTCTTGACTTGAAGACTTTACTAATGAACAATAAAATTGTTATGGTTTTTAGTACTGGTATTTAATAAATTTGGGTGATTTCTATATAAGACTTGTGTTTTTACTTTCCTGTATAATAAACTCCATTTACTCCCTATACTGTAGTTCGACATTTTGATAGTTCGACATCCTTCCAGTCCACAAAGTGTCGAACTATCGAGGTTCTACTGTATTATGGACAACATAATGCGGCTACAGTAATAGCTACTTCCCTAGGGAAATTCGCTAAAAACACAAGACAGTTTGGTCAAGTAAAGAAGGAGCTTAGGAAAAGACATATAAATCAACTACACCCAATGCTGGTCCCAAGAACAGAAACAAAAACTATTACATTCAATCCAACACATTTGTTTGATGTTCCTAGGAATCCAGTTGCAGCTCCAGAACCATTGTATAATAGAAAATATATAGGTACAAAGCCGTTCATTTTAAGTTATAGGCCTAGAATAAAAATAGTTTAAACCTGTTTTTCGAAGGTGAGTATTTATTATTACAAATAATTCCAGGCCACCAATTCGAGACACAGGAGGTCTCTCTGTTTGGTTATTGTTCCAATAACCTAATAGCCTACCCCATTGTTAATAATAACCGCAATTAATTAATTGTTTAATAACCGCAGCAAGCCTGCAGACTAAGCGAATTTCCATTTGCTTGATTGGATTTTACACTGAAATATCTCCTTAAAAATATCACAAAATTATTTCCTATTTAAATAGCATTAGTTTAACAAGTACTTAGGTTTGCTGCAACAGGGAGGGTTTAAAAGTGTTTTATTGTGAAATTTTAATACTGTATTATGTAGTTTGGTATGAAATAAATATTTTCCAAATTTGATCAAAATATGTTTATAAACAAGCAAACTACAATCAGTTATTCCAGACAATACAACATTTATTACATAAGAATAACATAGGGATTTAAAACTAATTTTTTTTTTAATTTTCTCCGCAACCATAAGGCTTAGGCCTATAATAATATTTCAATTACTCATATTTTTTTTTAAGCTCTACAAAATGTTTTGGAAAGAAATTGCAACATTATATGTTTTAGGATATAAAATGGGAACAACCAATTTTCACCCCATAAAACCCTGTTCCCATGGTCCGATCCATGCTGGTTCGCGAACTCGTTGAAATAAATGTAGGCCTACGTAAGGCCTAGGTTTACATGTTTATACCAAATTTCATCAAAATGGGATCATTTTTGCTTGAGTTATCGTGCTAACAGACATCCTACTAATATTATAAATGAGAAAGTTTGGATGTATGGATGTTGTGTATGTATGTTTGTGACAAGTAAACATGAAAAATACTGGTCGGATTGGGCTGAAATTTGGCATGATGATAGCTCACATTCCCGATTAACATATAGGCATATTCTTATTTCAAAAATCCTTTCGGGCTCCGCCCCAGTGGCTCTGCAGTTCCCTATGTTAACCTTATGAGTATTCATATTTAAAGGGAATTAAAGAATTTAGCCAGCTGTTTAAACTAAAATAGTTGGTTCTATGATATGCAAAAGCATTAAAAAGTTAGGGCCTATAAGATTTACCAACAGGGTGCAGCACTTTTTTCATTTTATGAAAACAGCTAATTTAAACTAGGCAGCAACAAAAACTGTGATACGCAATGAGAACTGTAAAAGTTTAGTAAGGAAGCAGATTTTCTCAAACCGTGTCTTCTCACATTGCAAATGCAAAGATCGAGTATAACTGCAATAAGCATTTTATACTTAGGTATATGCCAACCCCGTACGAAGGACGGGTACTCTGCTAGTATATATATACCTAGGCCTATAATACTATATACAGTATATATATATATATATATATATGAATTTGAACGGACGGTGTTTTTGTCCTCTAGGAACCTCAAAACAAAAAAGCAAATTGGTCCCGGGTCCAGGTCTCACCATGAGTACTACTGTTATAGGCCTAATAGCTTTAAATTCCCTATATAGGAAATTCGCTAAAACACCTTAGAATCTGGCTCGATCTGAACCAATCCAAGGGGCCAGATTGTCATACGCATGATTTCATGTTTTTATTTTTTTTTTCATTAATCTTTGGTAATATTCGCTAAGCACCCGATTGAGGGTTAAGGAATAAGCTTATCAACTAACATGTATCACATACACACTAAATCAGAATGTTTTGTTATCCAGCCCTAATTATACTTACTTGTTTTATATGAATTCTCCTGGTAAAAAGATGGAACACATTTATTCCTATCAAGTGGCTTTGGAATAAAACATTCTGAAGATGTATTTGTGGCACCACTCTTTTCAGAATGAGATGAAATCTCACAAGGCACTTTTGACTTTGGATTTTTAAGAGCATTCCTTTCCACAGGATTTGATGGTCTGGGTGGAACCCATGGTATATTTTTCATCAAATCTTGATAGTTCTGCTTATTTCTTGAAATCAACTTGTCAATCACTCTGCTTATTAACTTTCTTTTTAGTAGTGAATCATTCTCATATGTTTCCTTCACAAAGTCTGTGAGTATATCAACCCCTCTTTGAGCATCTCTATCAAAAGTACTTAATATGCTGCCTCCAGAACTCTCCCAATTCTTATTCTGATCTTCAGGAGTGGCATTGTTTGAAGTATTGTTTTCAATTGACATTGAGGAAGTGCCACATGAATTAATAGGTTGGTGTCTTTCATTGTTTTCATATACATGACCTGGCAAATATTCAAAACTGTTTACTCTGTCTTCAACAGTAACAGAGTACTGTTTATCAGTGCCACACCCACCACTTTTTGCACTGCTTTCAACACTGTCAATTAATCCCACATTTGTGATTCTTCTTTGGAAATTCAAATTAGCACTACCAACTGTATGGATTTTAATTTCAGACGGAACTGAGACATTGGTAGGGCTAATTGTATCTCTGTTAGGTGCATCTATTAAATTTTGTAAAATTTTACTTGCATGTTCTTTTGGTTCTTTGTTTTTTTTAAGCGCGCCTTTACAAGGAATTCCATCATGAAAATGAGTCATTAGACCTACATTACTTTTTGAGTATTCATTTTCTTTGTTATTTTTTTCTACTACCAAGAGACATTGGTCCACCAAGGCACTTGAAGGTTTATGGTCACTGGCAATATCAAAATAATTGCTTTTGTTTGTTATATACTGGGTCAAAACTGCTTTAGGCAAATGTAGAGTCTCACAGAAGGGATTAACAGGAAATGCATTTGATTGGATTTCATTTAGACCGTCATGTACTTGAGTACCAACTGATTGTTTTTTAAGAACTGATGTTTGTATAGTTGCATGTTTTGGTGAATCACCCTTTCTTTGAACAACAGTTGCTACAGAAGATGATGATGCTGATTTGTTTTTAAACAAATTTTGAAAGAGATAATTACCTCTTGATCCTTTGCTGCTAATATTTATGTTAGACGTTTTGTCATCATAAAAATCTGTCTGGCTTTGACTTCTAGGCAGACTGCAAACAATATAATTCCCATCCAAAGAAGCATCGTTATTAATATTACAAATATTTTCCAGGGATGAACTTAGCTTCTTTTTACCCATATCCAAGCAGTCAGGATTTCCTTGTTTTGTGTTTAACCCATTATTAAATAGGCCTAGATCAATTTTGCTAGGGTATTCTTCTGCGATGTTGTCTATTCTTCTGTTATTTATTTTGTTGCTTTGTAAACAGATCAAACCATACATATCTAATGTCTCAACCTTCCTTATTTCTTTATAGTTGTCGGCCGTTGAATTTTTCAATTCGGGAAAGAGGGGAATCTTATGTTTTTCTAATGAATTGGGTTGATTTTCAGAACAGACATCTTTCGAAGGCCTAAGAAGAGTTTGCCCGCAAACTTCTGACTCAGAAGAGTATACTTCAACTTCAGGATCTGGTGATTTTTCGTAAGGAATAGGAGAAATAAATTCTACCATATCTGGATTGTCATTACTTTTTAAGCATGTTCCTAGTGGTGTTGACTCAGCATTGGGGATGCCAAAACTTTTAACTCTCATTTTAGGTAAAAGTGTAGGGTTTATTGGGCCCACCTGTTGGGTTGTTCCTCCAGTAGTTCCTTCAGGATCAGACCTTCTTAAAAGTTTAGTGCTTCTAACTAATGCCATTCTTTCAACGGTGCTCATATTTGAATCTGATATTTGTCCACTGATTATATGACACTGGCTATAGCCAACATCGGCACCGTTGTCCCATTCAAGGGGCCTGCTTGATGTTACACTGGATGCAGATGAAGATGATCGCACTCGTGTCAAATCTTGATTGCCGTCATTTGGCGGAAATGATGAATGAATATTGCTGTACGATCCTTCAGGTGGTTTCTGATTGATGTAGTCATTGCGATTAGGCAGGTTATTTGTTTGTTTAGAATCAGCACCAATTTGAGTTGGTGACATAAAAGGTCTGTCTTGTGTACTTGCTGAGGTCCTTGAATCAAAAGAAAGTGACACACTATCATTCGAGGAAGATGAAGCTTGTCCCACCAAAGGCGGTCTTATTCCTTTGTTCTGTTTCCTCAAACTCAAACTTGATAAACTGTTTGAAAGGTTTTTCACTTTTGAGTCTTCTTCACCTACAATGCGCCGAGCTTCAACAAAGTTGTATTCTACCTGAGTAGCTGTGTCTACTTTGACACTCTTACTTGAACTCATTTTCAACTAGGCCTAATAAATTGTATAAATTGTAATCAAAACACGAGACATTCCTACAACAATCCTAACCTTAACATTCTTTTAAAATGAGGCTAGGCCTATTATAGTTCATCATGAAACACAAATAAGTTATGCCTATAATAAGTCACAGACCAATAACGAAATTCATTAGGCAAGTGAAACAAGTCGAATAAATTTAATTTTCGAATAAAAATATACACAGTACAATAACTACGTTCCCATTTTCATCCTAACCTCACTAGTCACTGGTTACCAAACACATACAAAAACAAAACATCAACATCAACAACTTCAACTAAAATAAAAAGTAAGTATGCAAGAAAGAAGAAGTAAAAAGAAGTATTGCGGTATAGCACCGTCGTCAAGTTGAATTTTACAGATTATGTTTATGTATGTGTTATACTCAATGGTATGTGTTACCATAGAAACCAACACAAGTGGTGTTACTTTACACTGTAACCTCTGATACGTCCTTTATTTTATAAAATAAATTTTAAGTAACTTGGGTGGGCTACGTTACCCGTTATCATCTATTTATCTATCTTCAATTGTACCCAAACATGTTTTCCAAAAGAGAACATCCCAATTCTCATTTCATTTTTAATGGTCTAAGCTTTTAGAGAATTATTAGCATCTTGCTTATAAAAGATTCAAGATTCAAAGAGTCTTTATTCACACAGTACAAATTTTCGTACATGAATAGTGTCTATTGTTACTTACTACCTAAATTAGCAAAAAGAAACATTTAAACAAAATACTATAGGGTCGCTGTCAATGTGCCACCACGTCAAACCGCCACCGGCGCCACCTCGGTGTTTTGGTCAGAGGCGTCAACCCGCCACCACAAAAAAACCGAGGTGGTGGGTTGACGTGTACGTACAGGTCAACCCGCCACCTCGACAACAGGCCACCACGACAACCCACCACCACACAATTTTCCGAGGTGGCGGGTTGTCGTACACACTCAAGTCAATGAGCCACCACGACAACATGCCACCACGACAACCCGCCAACACCAGTTTTTATCAGAGGTGGCGGGTTGTCGTGAAGCTCCATGTTTGATGTCGGCAACCCACCACCTCGCACGTAGGTGACAACGTGCCACCACGTCAACCCGCCATCACTCTTTTACGAGGTGGCGGGTTGACGTGTACGCTCAGTGTTTGGTGCCGTCAACGTGCCACCTCGCTCATAGGCGACAACGTGCCACCTCGACAACCCGCCACCATGCATTCTTGTCGTAAATCGGTTGGATTTATATTCTGTAGCATGAAATATATTGTACTTTGATTCAGTTAATTTAGAGAAAGTTAATGTACTTAACTCTTAAATATCATTTCTGGAAATTTTAGTTTATTTTCGGAAGAAAGATTGATAGATAATACAATTATTAACATGGTGAAAACCCGACATTTGAAAAGGTCTCACGCCAATAAGGGTAGGAACTTTTCATTCTAAAACCTTAGTGCAAAACTACGAATTGGTCCAAAACCTTAAACACCTCAAACGTTGAAATTTGTCCACAAATAAGGGAGGAGTAGTGTTCACAAAACACAGCTCTCGCGTATTAAAATGAGATGATAAAAACGTATATCAAAAACAAAAATAGAATATTTATTTTACTTAATTGCCAGTGAATAAACAATTTTTGTTCATTAGGCGTATAAATATATATATATATAAATGATGTTTTTAAAAAATAGTACAACACAATTATGGTCCAAAAGTTATTTCAGCTTTTGTGATTTTTAACTATATACTATCACCGCTTTCCCATGATATAGGATGTTAACAAGCTTATGGGAGAAAGTATGTTTCAGAATGCTGATGCCGTTTATTTTTACATTTATTTTGTAATTTATAATGTTTGATATCAAGTAATCGTCTGTGATATGAAATAAATCGAATGACGTATATTGACGCTTTCAATTGGCTGAAGGCCACTGGGGCAGAGCCCTGATGGAATTTCAAATGTGTTTTGTTTTGGCAAATTTACATGTCACGACCTATCCAACGACACCTTAAACTTGATGATCGGATGCATGGATCGGATGTGTAGCAGTTTCAAAACAATAATCACAACATTCGTGTTGGCCAATTAAATATTTAAATAATGATGATGTTTATGTGTAAATGTATCCTCGACTAAACAATTTTCACAATGTGCAGTATATCGTATCTACATACTACATAGGTTAAAATAATATTACTGATTCATTTGAACATTAATTATCGGTACGCACCAAGCAGTTTCATTATACAATTAGATACAAATTTGACTTAGGATTATAACCTGAAAAAAGTCAAAGCCAAAGTCCTTTAATTATTTTTGTTAACCTGATTTTTTTTAAAAAGGGGGTTTGGCAAGATAATGACTTTTGGTACCATTTGCCTCCGTTTAATAACTGATCAGCGCTGTTTGGCGAAATAATATTACATTTGGATGGTAAAAATGTAAGTGGCCTAAGCGTTTATTTCAAGCTACGGCCTGATTCATACGTTGAAGTACAATGCTACTATACTAATATTACAAATAAAAGTTTGTGTGTTTGTTTAGGGTTCGATCACTCAATAACAATTCATTGGGCACATCGGGATTAGGCTGAAATTTGGCATGATGATAACATTTTCCTGATTAAAATATAGGCTTGTTATTACCTCAACACTTTTTTCTTTCTTTTTGCCTTTTTGAATATCTCTCGTTTGTATTTAGAACAATAGCACACAATAATATGCCTCATTATTAAAAAATCAGGAACGAACCACGAATTATTACTGGGAAAGGTGAACGAAATGCATGTTGTAAAATGTAGACGTGGACACCTGGTGCAAAGTATTTGGCCGATTGTTTAATATAAACAAACCCATAACAGTCAGTACTTGGAACTTTAAAGGAAATATTAGGGAACAGAATACAGGGGTGTCCCGTTAATCCCCTCGCACGTTTCTACGAATGGACTTAATCTGAAATTTCTTAGATTTTTCTTTCTCATCAACAGGCCATTCCAGTTATGAGGTGTCGGGTCGCTCAGGTCAGTTCACTTTCCCGTAGTTGCGAGATCGCGATTGTCCTTTAATTTCCAACCTAAATATTGTTTTAATTTCACTTAGTAATCACAAAAGAGAACCAAACTAATATTCTGCTGTTGATAAAACTATTCTATTTCTTGTTTTAATTTATTTTATTTAGTCGTCGGATTATACTTTTTGAAAGATTTTAGACAAAACAATCCAAATCGCTGTTTTGAATGATATTGGACACGTTTCTTTAAAATTGTACTAAAACGTCACTTGCCAAATACCATAATGTGACGAGATAATACGTTATCTGAAAACAATTGGCGACCTGTTTAGTGTAATCATCTTCCTACCAACTGTCAATTATATCTTTACGTTATAATTTATTTACAATTAGTGAATAAACGGAACTAGCTGCTGTGCCCGTGATTCGAAACGGGAAGATGTACCAAAAGTCCATACTGCCTAATCCAAACACTTGTTAAGTAGTTTGAATTTTTAAACAAATAGCAATCAAATTTTTACAAAAATGTATGCCCTACATTGTAATTAACCTACTGTTTACATTAAAAATATATCACAACATAATTTTTATAACTTATGGTTATAGAATTTTTCTTCATTTCAATAATCAATTGCATAAATAAACCTACCACATAGTTGTGTAAATTACATAATGTTAACAATTAATATATGTTCTTCTTCTCATTTTTAATCTCTGACAACAGCTGGAATTACATAACAATGTCTGTTTCCCATGAATCTTATGGAGAAATGTGAACCTGTAAAGGGTCCCAGGGCCTCACCCTAATTATTTCCCTAAAAAGAGAGTTTCCTGGACAACTTCACGTTACGCTCTTTCCAAATGACACCAAAAACATGCCAATCGGTTTAGTAATTTCGGAGGAAGAAATGTCACAGAAAAACCTGCTTGCGTATTAAATAAGTTAAAAATCCCTCACCTCACAATTTTGAAAGCCCGTGGAGCAGATACTAGTTCAATATCGAAGGTGGGGGGTAGTTCTAATCCTCGGAGCGGTAGCTTGATTTTTGTCCAATTTGAGTCCAATCGGTTCAGTAGCTTATAGCATAGATGAATCTATGCTTATAGTTTATCTCATACAAACACACAAACACCACCTCTTCTTTATAATAGTATAGATAGATTTAGTAGATGATAGATGGATAGATAGATGTCATTATTATTATGTGATTATTGTTATTGTTTATATTTGATTTGTTTACAAGTTTTACGCAGATTTAGTTTAGTTAGTAAAGATACTTTTAAATATGAATCAATTATTTCATACAATTTTCAACAGTACATTAGTGGAATGCCCTGAACCCATTGTGCCAAGAGTAAAAGTACGGTAATAATGCTACTTTGATATTATCCGGAGGCCACCCTTATACAGTGTGCTGCGGCGGTTATGTTAGGTTGGGTTATCATAAATATGTTTGTAGAACTTTCTTAGTTTCGCTATGGATGGAATGATACCAGATGAGTCATATCATCGCCAAATCCCCTCCAAGTAGGCCAAGGTCAGGTCGTTGACCAATGGCCGGAGCGCGCGCATCACCTGTCACCGCCTGTATCTCAGGTATCGTCACTCATGTTGTATTGTTAGATTCATAATAAAACGAGGAAACCCAACCTAACGCAGTATTTACTCAGTATCTACTCGGCGGAGTTTGTGTGCCAGCTAGAGGCGGTGACGCATTCAACTCAATCTTGCCTTCTGGGAGGCAGAACTCAAAAACCGCTAATTGCAATTGCAATCATTTCATATTTGGACAGTTTTCTAATTATGTGTTTTTTTGTCTTAGGTAAAAAAATCCCTCTAGAAAACAAGTGGCCTCCGAATAATACCAAAGTAACGGTACGGTATTTCCTGAAGCATAAAATGGAATTTCAAGCAGAGCATGATAAATTCAATAGAAATTTTGGTTTAAGATATCTCCTACCTAATGAGATTTTTGGAATATATCTGTCTGGTATGAACTTCTCTGGGCAATACCCTTGACTCAAGAGGTCAAAGTACGTTACCGGTTGGGTCGAGTCTAGTTCTGTATCCTTTCTCAAATTCTTCTAAATAGAAAAACAGGTGCGCGCTAGTCCACACAAAGTACATTTTAGTCTGTTGTACTCTGTATCAACGATGTACCTATATTTTGTTTTATGCTTTTGGTTGAATGTATTATTATTTTCACCACAATAAGGTTTTAAGAGAAATTATAACCGAACAATACATTTTCATGATTTT